AAGCAACTTAGGGGATACTAAGACAAAGAAACAGAGAAGGTCCTCCTCTTTGTACAACCTTAAGATCATTGGAGAGGGAGCTTTCTGGAAGGTAAGGGACTGTTAGGCGCTTACAGTGATCACAAACAAATCGTAAAGTCTCCTACCAATTTTGCCTAAAGTCCGTGGAGTAATAAACCTCTTTAGCTTGTATGATGGTATGTTTGTTTTCCACGAAACTGTCCGTTTCTTAAATCATGCGTAGATGTGCACGTGAATAAAAGGAAAGAAATCGGTTCTCCAGAGTATTATCACATGACCTGTATTGGAAAAAGGAAAGTAACATACGAGCTCAAGAGGTCTATTAAGGCTGATCACCGTGGTAGAGCGACAAGAACATCACTGTCAGAAATACCGATTTATTAACGCTGTGAAAGAAGTTGAAAGGCATTGATTCCTTAGTTTTGTTTTTTTGTTTGTTTTTAATTGTTTTTTTTTTTTTTTTTGCCAAGAGTACGTTCTTTTGGTTACCAAATTGACGATCAAAGCTGTGTATGATATACAAACTGTATAGGTCCTTCTTTCTCCAACAATTGAATACATGATATCTGGGAATGTTTTTCTGTAGGAGGCAACAAGGTAATCCCACAGAGTTTGAATAAAAAAAGGCTGGTAAGACCGAGCCTATCAACCGATCCTTCAGAAAAAAATCAAAGTGTCCGTTTCTTTTAATAGGTTCGTCTTTGTAAGGACCGAACTAAGAGGCAAAACGCAGTGAAACAATTCAATGAACCTGACCCAAACAATGTCGAAGAGGAAGTATTGAGTCTCACCTCATCAAGTCCTTTTACAACAAGACCTTGTAAAGAGGTTGAGAGCCCGGTATGTTACTCTAAAATTTATAACAAGATATCTTCCCTAACGCCCACCCTGGCCTGCCAATTGAAGCAAGCGGACTTCTTGCAGGAAATCAGTGGACTGTAACTGCCTCGTACCCAGACGTCTCTCTCGCGATGAACATTTACGCGCAAAGGAAGGTGGGAATAAGAAAAATTAGGGCTTCACCCACCTCTCATTATTTCCATCCCATGGTCCCTTACGCTTTGTCATTAGTCACTCGCGTGTCACTTGCGTGTCACTTGCGTGTCACACGCGTTTCGCGTTTGCCTCTGCGCGGAAAACGAAGCGCCTAAGGAGATAATCTGAGATCAGGCGCATTTTTTTTTTCGGGACACAAAAATTCGGCGAGCGGCTGCCGTCACAAACAACGTTGAAAGGACGGCTGATCGCAGGTTACTAAGGAGGACGCAGGGACTGTAAACCTTCCGAAAGAGAATTTGGTTAAACATATCAGGGGTAGACTGGGTGTTTCTCTCTCTGTTTCAAAATTCTTTCTAATCTAGTCCATAACCCAAAAAGAAGATGGCAAGTTCTGGGTCAACTAATAATTTCTTTGTATTTTCATTTTATAGTACCCTAGCTATTTCATCATCATGGAGTTCGTCAAGGGAGGGGATCTCCAAACTGATTTGGACCGCCATGAGTGGTCTAGCGAGCCTCGAACAAGGTAATGATACTCCTATCAAAGTGTTAAGAGAACAGTCGCGAACACGGTAGTCGGTTGCTAAGGCCGTTTTTCTCTCACCTCTCAAAACTGAGAGTTTTAGGCCATAGACAGAAGTAGGATGCATCGAATGTAACGAAACTTGGCAGGGAAGAAGGTTGATAAATTACCTTTTAATTGGTTTTCATTTCATCCCATGACACTGCTATTGTGACGTCATGAATGATGTCCAAATAAAAATTCAGGAAAGAAATGGTAAAAATTTTATATTAGTTTTCTGTATAGAATTCTATGAATTCTGGTGAAAAGCACATCTCAATCGGATAAAAAGGCGTTAAGTTACATGTAGTTAAAGAAATTCAAATTTCCAAACAAATGACCATATATGCAACCTCGTCCCCAGGGCGCTTTCCCTGGCTTTGGAGGTGGGGCAGCCCGCCCCACCATTTTCCGCTTTCTGTTTTCGTCTTTGTTGACTCTTCATTTGTCTCTGCTTGACAAGAAGTGAGTGGCCATACGCTTTCCCGCCAAAGTAACCTGACATTTGGCATCGGCTTACATGAAGTGGGTGCACGGATGGTCGGCGTTCAGTACATCATACCAAATTTTCTTGCTTTCATGGGTTACCAATTTATCTTAGCACTGGCGCTCCGCCACGCGCGCTTCGCGCGGGAGCTCCGGAATAACGAATTGCAATCGTGGATGTTTGACATGTTTATCCTGGTTTTATCGCATTGATCAGAGAACTCCAGGCTCTCAAAAGTTTAGAGCTTAATTAAGTTTGGCTCAAGTTCAGAATTTTCGGAATGTCTCGACAAAATACCTGTTAGAATCCTTCTTGATATGCTCTTTCTTGTGTTTAGGCGATCAAAACGGTCTTTTAATGCCCTGACACCTTCATTCATGAAATTTTAAAACTTCGCCGCCATCTTGGCACTGAGACGTACGGAAGGTTGCCATGGCAATTTTGTAATTTCACATGTGAAATTACAAATAAGTATAGGTAAGAGCATGATTTGTAGTGATATTTGGCATAAATACCACGAGTGATATTTCGAAATTGTTAGACGTAATTTCACCAGCCGTTAGGCGAGTGACATTTGAGACAATTTTGAAATATCACGAGTGTTATTTATGCCAAATATCACGTACAAATCATGCCATTATTGTTTATACTACTACCCGAAAGAGGTTTGTAATTTCCACATGTAGGTATTTTAAATTAAGCTGAAATACCACTGCTCTAAGCCAATCAAATTGCAGAAATTTCTCATGTAGTAGTATAAACGCTGAAATTCATGCCAAAGTTAAGGAGTAATTCGTCACCCATAATATTACATCATAAACGGCAGCCCACACGGCTGTGCCCTGCGAATTGTAGCCGTCTTTCCTCGCTTCTCGCCGCTAGAGACGTTTTGCTAACCCCCGGGCTAACGGCGAGGAGCGGGGACAGACGGCTGTCTTCGCAGGCTAATAATTTTAACAAAGCGGTTTGTTCAAAGAGTATATCTTTTCAGGGGCGTACCTGACTGTAAGCCAGTGAAGCACGGACGATTTTGGGTGGAATTTTTTTTTCTCTAAATGCCAAATTGATAAAATGGCCATAATCTTTTTTATGTGTTTTCATATCCCAAAAAAATTTTTCCAGAGAGTGTCGTTGACGGCATGCGGTTAATATGATGACAGACGCGCTCCTAGCCTCCCCGCAAACGTCCTGGGGGTTCGTTCGTCACGCATTCTCACCCACGGAGAAATGAATGCGTGACGAACGAACCCCAAAGGACGTCTGCGGGGAGGCTAACGCGCTCCTACACTGTAGTACTACATTCAAAGTCTAGACAGGCGAACAAAGAGGCTCTCTAGGCCTGCACTTCCCTATATGCATCGACACGGACAAGGTTGTCCAGGAGTTCTGCGCTAGGAAACCCGGTATATTGGCATACCAACTGAATTTACTTTACGGCGCATAAAACCTGGGTCTTGTACGGTGTAAATTGGTAAGCGTATATTAGCAACATTCTGGTGGCGGGCTTATTACTGCGCTTTTCACAAACATGCGAATTCTGAAGTTCAAAAGCCAACTGACGATTGCGTTTTTCGCTGCCGTCAATCATCTTAACGGACCTCTTGGGAAACAAAACTTTACTTCAACGGGTTCAAAAGGTCATGGATTGTCATTTCTGATTGGTGGATTTCGATCCGTTTTGTGAATTTCTGTGTTTCAAGGTTCGTTGTTTGTGATCGTAATTATGATTGACGGCAGCGAAAACGTAATTGTGAAGGCGGCTTTTGAACTTTAGAGTTCGCATGTTTGTGAAAAGCGCAGCAAAAGCTAGAAAATGTCCAGGAACTCTCCTGCTTTTGCTGATAAAATAAACAGATGAAGAGTTATTTACTCTTCTAGGTGGTAGTTTCGGTTTTTTGGGGCGAATCCCTCGTACTTTACTGCCACAAATCAGTGCCGGATCCACACCTTGAGATTAGGGGGGAGCCCGGTCCACTAGACCCTGAGATAAGGGAGAGGTCTCCAAAACATTTTTGCGGCCCTTCGGGCCTCAGTTTGGTCTAAAAATAAAGGGAGGGGGGGCAAGCCCCTCTCCCTAGATCCGCCACTGCAAATACCTTTTCTTACCAAAAGGACCGGAGAGAGCCTATCGTATTTTCCTGAGGAATATTAGGACAAAAGGTCATACAAAACGCTCTACTCATTTTGAGTAAACTTTCCGGCTTAAGGTCACTAATATTTTCGGAGATTAGCAAAGGCAGCTACAAGCTCCTTCGGCTACTGCACATTCTCATAGAGTTCTGATAAGGCATAAATAGAGCAATATTCAGGTGAAAGGACCTTTCAGTTCTCCTGTCTTCCTTCACAACAATAGTAATGCCCAAAAAAACACGCAAAGTAATCAAAACGAACTATAAAATCTTTACATCTCCGGTCCTTCTCTGGTATAGCGTCACAAAACATTACAAGATCAGTTGCATTGTTGTTTTAGTGTTCAGATTGCCATAATCCACCTGACAAATATTAAACTGTGAAGACACCTACGGATTTTTTATGTGCTTGCCAAATTGGCTACAGTCCCTTGCGGCAGTTGTCTAAGGTATAGAGGTAGAATCTGCCTGATTTTTATTCAGTGCAATGCTTTAAAAGTTACGTTGTGCCCAGCATGCGTTTCTGGAGAGTACTCTACTTCCGCGTTTTAACTAGCTAAACACGATACAAGTCTTTAAACGCTGCCACACCAATACTCTCCTCTGCTATTTTATAGATAAGTGTTTAGAAGACAGAATGACTCTCCTTAGTAACATTTACAATCAGAAGTCAAAGTGAAACCTACCACGTGGATTCCATGCCATGCCGTGACCAGACGGTCAGTTTCTCTTTCAAAGAGATCGCGTGATGTTATTGAAATGTGCTAATTGTCACGTGATGATGCTCAAATTACTATGTGGCGGGAGCTTCACTGAATGCAATAAAAGTTGATCAGAATTTTCATCATACCAGGAAATGGCGATAGCGAATTGCTCAAGTCTTTCAATCAACGTTAACGATTTATTGCAACTACAAGGCGTCGAAACCCAACGAGTAGAATTTAAGAAAGCATGGCACAGCAAGGGGCAAGGCGGAAAAAGAGGAACATACTGGCAAGTTGTTCACTCAATCTGCGCTTTCGCGAACGATTTTTACAACGATAATGGCGGCTACATTATTATCGGTGTAGAGGAGAAGGAAGACTGGGAAGATGACGCAAGTAACCGCCAGATCATTCTTCCGCCTCTTGGTGTTCCAGCTAGGGACGTCGACCGAATTCACAAGGAGATCACGGGCGCTTGTCGAGCGAACATCAAGCCTGAATACGTCCCTATCCTTTCATCCGAAGTAGTAGAAATGGAAGGAACAAGAAAGCATGTACTGGTGATCTGGGCGGTGGCTTCCGACAACCGACCTCATAAGTGTAGGGACTCGAGCGAGAAAGAAGAAAATCGTTCCTTCAGTTACTACATCAGGTGTGCTACAGAAACGAAGAAGGCTTCACCAGACGAGGAACTTCGACTGCTGTCTCTGCACGCCAAGATCCCATTCGACGACAGGAGGGCGTTCGACTCAGGTATATTAAAATGTTATTTCTCCCATACGCCTTTTATTTAAAATCAAAGACTGAAATTATCCCCTGACCAGTTTGAAAACTTTGAATTTAAGAAACTTTAGGAGAATCCAATATATATGTCACATAGGTGGCGGAGCAGGGAAACTCCGTAGCCCTTATCCGACATCGGCGGCTTCAGAGTGCACATTTTTGCCCACAGACGACTCAAGAACTACCAAAGAAGCAGGGACGAAATACGAGCTCCCCTAAAATGCGTTACTGATGCATTGTCACAAATTGATTACACACTAGACACTATGAAGACTGCAAAGAGGTTCGCTTGTGCCAACAAAGGGCATTTTGGAAAATTTTTGAAGGGGTATGCGCATGGCTGAGTGGAAGATAAGCCCCCCACATGTTTCAAAACGCTCCGCCGCCTCTGTGTATTGCATACATACAAAATAATTTATTCCACGTTACGCGTATAAATCTTTGATTAACGGAGCTTAAAACATTTAACACCAAACTCATAGATGGATTTCGCCGAGCAGGAATCCTTTTGCGACATTCATTTTGATTGATAACAGATGCACTCGAAATCCACTGATTTTGGATAGAAAATCCAGAATAACTGCATGCGCATTTTAATTTCCGGCCAGGCAAACTCACAATATTAATCATTCATCTCTACATGCTACTTCGACAATCATCAAATTTCCGTAATTTCAATTGCCAAATCCGTATCAGCCAAGGTGCTGTAGTAAATACCCGCTTCAAAGAAAAGGCGGATTAAGAATATTTTAAGAGCATCCAACCATCAAATTGTTGACAAAAAAAAATTTAAAAAAACAACTGAATTTGCTTGTTAAGCTTTTATATCTGAATTCCAATTTCCCGCTAACCTCGCTTTGAACAACCCGGTATTTTTGTCAGGGACATTATCTTGCTAATTCCAAATTTTCTTTCCTTATCAGGCTTTGGCAAGCAGCTTTCAGAGGGAGATATAGATTTTGCACTTGTCAAGAGATTCTTAAAAGGCATTAAAAGCAAGTTATATCATCAAGAAGATAAGAATCCAACTTATTTTTATGAGAGGTTAAAACTTGTGAGGCACATTGGAGATAGAAGAGATGGTGACATGCTGGTCCCTGTTTTGGCACCACGAAATGTGGCTCTTCTGTTCTTTCACCAAGCCCCTCATGATTTTTTTTCGGGTGCAAAAACTGAAATTGCCATATACACACATGAAGACTATGTACCAGAAGAAAAGCTTATCACAGGGCCTATTGACCAGCAAATCGAAGAAACACTGTCTTTTATTCTAACGACAACAAAAGAAGAAGCTGGTCATGAATTTGTGGCTTATCCATCGAGAGCTCTTCGCGAAGCAGTTGTTAATGCATTCCACCACAGAGGCTATGAGGAGTGTGACAACAATCCTATAAAGATTCACATCAAGCCACACTGCATTGAAGTCATTAGCTATCCAGGACCTGATCCCACCCTCAAACCAGAGGACTTTTCTGAAGGAAATGAAGTTCCATGTGTTCCTTCCAGAAACAGAAGGATTGCTGAATTCCTGAAAGAAAGGCAATTAGCTGAAGGGCGGTTTACTGGAGTCAGAACAATTTATAAAAGTATGAAGAAAAACAACAATCCCAAACCATCCTTTGACTTCAATCAATCCTACTTCCGTGTTTGCCTCCCTGGACATCCCAAGTACATTGCGTACTCAATTCGAAGAGAAGTTGACAATCTTTGTGCAAAGGGAGACAAAAACGAGGCCATCAAGTCACTTAAAGGATTCCTTGATGAACATCTTACAGATGACCGTTCATTTTGGGGTTCTGAAATGTTAATTTCTAAACTGTTGGAGTTAAATGACAATGACATCAACCATCCAAACATTCAACCCTACAAACACTTTATCTCTGAGAAGATGGAACGACGCATGCCCCTCATAACAAAATTATGTAAATGGTGTGTTAGCGATGAAACCACAGACATTGCCACAGGTGTTGAGATCGTGAAGAAGCTTGTAAAAGAAGGTGCAAGGTATGAAGACCTGGACTCTGTTGTAAGGAAAGCAGTGGATTTATGCATTGAGAAAAATGAGAAAGGTCAACGGGTAGTGCAAGCTTGCCAAAATGCCCACAAGCTATTTGAAGCAATGGGAGAGTTAACCCAAACAAATGGTTATGTGGCATACCAGTTTGCTTTCTGCAAGTTTAACTTGTACTGCATGCAAGCTGTTTCGACAAGAAAAAGGCGAGACCTAATAGGTTACCTCAAAGATGCAGAGGATTACATCAACAGAGCTATACAGCTTACAAATGAAGACTACAAGCACCATCTGGCCAACCAATACCGTCAGCTTGGCTACATCCATTCTCAACTAGAGATCATCCATAAATCAACAGAGGAGCAAATCGTTGCTTTCTATGAAAAAGCAAGAAAGTACAACCCCAAGATAGAGATCAACCAGTTGTTCATTCCACCTGGATATCAGTTCAGGGACATGGAGAGCCCTACAAGTAGTGTCACATCCTTGGAATGGAGTGTCTCATCATAATGAAGGAACAGAATTTAATTGGTAGGGTAAAGAAAGATTAAATTCGTGTAGGAAGGTGTTCACAGTGCATGCAAGACTGTTGTCTTCTTGTTAACACTTGTAACATAACTGTTATATCATGTGAGTAGTTTGCAAAAACTTTTATAATTAGCAATTAATGAATGAGGCTCAGTACCTCATGAAGAATTATGGAGATGGAGGAGGGTGTTATCGGCTTCGACAGATAACACCCTCCGAGATCTCCATAAATTCTTCACGTGATACGAAAGCCAAATTCAATAATTGTTTTATTATTCATTCAAAATAATTCCTAGTTCAAAAACATAGCTAAAACAAGCTTACCTGCAGCGATGTTAAGTTTATCTTCGATAGTTTACGTTTAGGTTTGTCCAGCTCTGCAAATATTCTCCGAATAGCAGATGTCGCCCTCCGAGTTGTCTTTTTGCTGTTTTTGTCATGTTTTTAGCCATTATTTTGCCTAGTTCCAGCTGTAGTTCTTACTCTTGAAATGAGTGAAGTGTCCACCATTTTAGTTTTTACAACAAAAACAACTCGATCTCGTCCCCAGGTCTTCTCGGTTAACGGTGCATTAACCTGTAGAAGGCTGCATTATTGATGTCATTTCCTCGTTAAACACAAAATTCTTCCAAATTTGGTCATCAGTAACTGGTTATGGTGAACTATGCACCTGCTTTTAGCCAATCAGAAATTATTGGGGAAATATTTTGAATGAATAATAAAATAACAGTTTAAGGAGAAAGGGTGGTTTTAACTGAGAGCTTGCTTCCTCTGTTTGCTCCCTTCTAATTGAGGTCACTTGCAGAATAACAATGGCATAAACAAAACATGTAAATAAGAAAACATCCTAACTCAATATCCTTTAATATGATACTGTTTCATGCAGGTTCAGGGACCAGTTTTAAAATTTTGGTAACTAATAGTAGAGTTAACATAAGATCTGGGAATTCGAATTTTACTATTTTTAAATCATTATTTACAAATACAGCTAGTTTTTAAATGAGATTGTGTATAGTTTACAACATCCTTGGAGAACCAGGGTCTCTTTTCCCCCATAATTTTCTTATTGAAAAAATAAATGTTTGCCATAGAAATTCCAACATCCTAAGTTGCTGCCCCTCCATTTCCGATTATGAGTTCTGAAGAAAACATGTGTCAGCATGGTGTACATGTATGTTGCGATATGAAGAATAAGAGTGTGTTGCCAATGAACGCTCTCCAAACTCAATCATTCAAGTCCTTTGTTGATAGCGTGGTGCACTCGATGAAGATATTGCTTTAATTGCGAAATGTCAAAGTCTAAGTAACAAGTTAGATATGCTAATTTACTGCACATTGCAAATGCACGTGCAACAAGCTACGTATGCTAATGAGTTACATGTGAACGTGCAACACCTTTCCTTTCATAAAAAAAAAGACAAAAAAAAAAAAAAGTGAACATAAATGAATAAAGTCACGAAACACGCGATACAGAGTAACAGTTTGTGCTATGGCGTAATCCATGAGATAAGTCAAAGTACTTCATGTCTCGATGTCTCAAAGCTATGCAAGTGTTCAACTAATGTTCATTACGTAATCTTTAAATCTGGAGGGTAACTTCCGGTTCCTAGACGACCTCCGTAGCACGATTTCCGGTGATGCATGATGTTCAGGGTTCACGTACTCGGGCTGCTCCACCTGTTCTGTTCCACCGCTGTTTGGACTTGAGGGGTCGTCCACCTGCTCAGATGTATCTGATGCTACATCTGTATCGATTGATACCGGTTCACTGTAGCC